CGCCCGGGCGCGGGGAGGCCCCGGGGGAGCCCGCGCTTGTTAAAAACCTCCAGAAACAATAGTGGTTCTTTAAGCCTCAGTCTGCTCCGTATGAGCGCATGAAAGGTAACAAATATTTTTTTCCCCTTTGGAAAGAGGCACGGAGTTATCCCTGCTTTGCTCTTTGGCTATTTGGATGTTGCGTTGCCTAAAATAGTGGTTTTTTTTTTAAATGCACCCTAGTTACGAGCTCCTGCCCCACGCTGGGGTAACGATAGAAACGTTGGCACCACACAGCCTCGTTGGCATGGGCCGGTGCAGGAGCCTGTTGCAGACTGCAGCGCTTCCTGAACCAGCTGTGAAACAGGGCACAAAATGGGTCTTTTTGCATTACATTTTTATATACCTAAGCATATTTGCTCTCAGGCCTGAACAGAGGTTCCTGGCAGCAAAGAAATGGTACTGGCTTTGGCCTCTTGCGTTTGCAGGTGAATGTTTTTAATTCAGGGAATCGTGGCACCTGCTGTCGCTGAACTACATGTTTATTGCAGTTACAGACTGTGGTTAGGTAGGAGAATAAATGTGAATACTGTGGTTCTATGAATAAAGATAGTAAGGGAACCGCCATAGATCAGACAGAGAGTTTGGAGGCAGGGGTGGTGTCTCCAGGGGGCTGATTATTAATGTCTTAAAAGTGTTTCATAGTGTTGTGTGCTCTGTTGAAGTCAATGGATAAACATGACAGAAGCCAAAAAGTTGTCTGTTGTGATTGTGGCAGTGCTGGGGTAATGCTGACATTTTTCCAAAGTCTCCCAAACACAAGCAAGAGAACAGGGAAAATTAAAACTTTTGGGGAAACGAGAAAAGAAGAAAGACACATTAATGGAAGGAAACAAAAAAAGTCCCCTTGTTTAGAGAAATTGGACACTGACATTAAAAGCGATATAAGCTCTTTTTTTGGTCTGTAGAGATTACCTTAAATTCAAGGGGAATATCAGGCGCTCCCATATTTTAAGATCAGATTTACTGATCAAGATTTACATGCATGACATTTTATCATTTTGAGTTAATTGTCATTGTGGTGGTACAGACTTAATTTGACGTTTAATAAGGACACCTATGTTTCCAACATAATAATTTCTTAAATGTATGATAGATAATGATGTGGTTTTAAATGTTTAAACAGATTAACTTAATTCAGTGTATCAGTCAGCATAAGTGTATCAATGCAGATACTAAAATGTCACCTGTCATAAAATATGAATTTCATGTTACTTCTGCAGTGTGTGCAGCAACCGATTTTTGTGTATTTTGGGATTGTTATAGAAGTTTAATATTCTTTGTGGATTTTGGCATAGTTCTTGCACTAAAAATACTACATTTTCAACCTATTAAGACTTGAGATTAAGACTTCAGCAGAAGTAATGTACAGAATTTGACTGTCGTGGGTTGTTGAAGCCAATTTGTATATTTTCCTAAGTTTAGGTAAGTTTTTCTTATATAAATCAAACATAAAGGCAGTTTCATTTGCTAATACATAAAATGGTAAAGGTATGTGAGTGGTAGAAACAGAAATTGGTGCTTTTGCCTGGCCTAAATTGCCTTGGTTTTCAGTGCTTGAGTAATATATGTATACTTTTTTTGAACTTACTGTGCGGTGGTTAAGATGCAGCCTTGATCAGTGGGCTAAAGAGCATGGCTCTTTTACGGTCCCTCCTGAATAGTCCCACTTGTTCAAAGAGGCAAGGTAGTATCTAGAATGTGTAAGGAAGTTGCACTGTGCTTGTCTTAACTCATTTTCCTACCTGTAAAATGGGGAAAATTCAGTGTCTTGCATCATAGATAGGTCAGGAGAATAAATCCTTTCATATGTCTGAAGCGCTCGGATGCTACCTTCATGGGGACCATATTACTATCAAGAAGATTCGTGCTTGCGTTGGGTTGCTTTTACATTCAGAACTTTGGTAGTTCTAAATCACATTACGTGCATTTATTTGTGACTATTTGGAAAAAAATTCTATATTGCTTAGTTTGATTTCAGCATTCGGTGAATGCTTTGCAATTAGTCTGTCAGTATTCTGTGTCTTTGTAGTGTTGAATTGCTAAGGTCTTAATTTTAGAAAAGGTTCTCTTCTTCATGGGTATGGCTAGCTTTTCATTCTTTTGCACGTGTAAGAATTTTTCTAGAATGAGATGTGTCCTCTGTTTTACCTGTAAGCATGCCCTATGAGTTTCACAAGCCCATGGAGTCAGAGTATTTTAGAATCAATACTTATTTTTATTAACTGTAGAGTTTTTACATTCTTGAAGTATTAGTCTGATTTGCCCTTTAAAGGCAAAAATATGTAGTAGTCCTTGGAGTCTTGTTAGTCTCCAGACTAACTAAATAAAAGACTTACTTGCTAACACAATCAATTATGAACTTTAAAAGCAGTTGGTTACTCAGTTGTATTAAAGTCCATGTCATATTGAGTAATGTCTTGATGGAGATATGACCGTATCTGGTATTTAAGAGAGAGCTACTAAGAAGTAGGAAAGGAGACTTACAAGCAGAGAAGTTAATTGGAGATACATACTCACTAAAATCAACAGTAATGCATAATTGTATGAAAAACTGCTTTAAACTTTTCTTGTAATTGAACTGCAGCCTATTAAATTGAGGAGTTTATAGACTTCTTTAATTAGAGCGTTTTATATGGAGTGAAATGACATAAATATGGTTTATTGTGACCTTTGCTATAAATCATGACCTTTGCTATCGTGACCTTTGCTGTAAAAAGACAGGAAAGAAAACTGCTACAGGTTTTCTGCTGTAATTCTCAAATCAATCATTACTTCTTCTTCTTTTTTTTAATATACAGAATGTCAGTGGCCGCTTACTGTATATTTTGCTATAGACAAATAGGAACTTCTGGTCCAGCCACAAAAACACACCTGCCATGGAATGATATCAGTAAGTACAGTTCTATATGTATTAATCTGAGGTGTTAATAAAAAGGAAAAATCTGTGTTGGTATGACGCCATCCATAATTAAATGATACAAAAGATCTAAATCCCTGAATACTTTGTGATCAAAAGCTTTTATTTGCCTAAAGTGGATATCTGCTTCTGACTTTGCTTTGCATAGCGATATGTAAAATGACACCAGCAGATTATCTGGGATTAGAGCACGAGATGAGGGTGTCCCGTCCCCCCCCAGATGCAATCTCATTAAACTATCTTAAACTCCGTTTTGTATCTGATTTTTTTTTTAACCTCTAGAGCCATGAAACAATTACATGCATAAAATTTGAATAAAGTGTTTCTATTGTTTCTTCCTCCTTATTTACTGATATTAGTTCTGCAGTCTTCCCTGCTTAGTCTCTGCTTTCTTTGGTGCCTTCTGTATAGAATGACAATTCTTATGATTCCGAAGTTTATTTTTGAGCATTAAACGATAGGATATTTCCTCTTCTGCTCTACAGGAAGCATTGCATTTTTTTGCCTTTTCAACCTTCTCTGTCAGTTATTTCTTCAACATGTAGCTGCCCCTTCTCTGCATGCCAAAATTCTTATGGTCTCGCAAAGACAGAACCTGGTGGCGGTGGTTGTGGGGCAAATCTCCCAATTCATGCTGAGGAAAAGGAATTATTCATGATAGGTGAGATGTGTTCCATTGGGTTTGCTGCTACTGGTAATACTAGAGTTTCTCTGTGTTGAGATCCTTACATCCAGATAATCAGCTCAACTTTGTCCAGAAAAAATAGCTCAAATCTGACAGGAGTCCTTAGACTCAGAAGAGAAATTATTGCAAGTGGCATGTATTTATTCAGCTATTTGCTTTATAAATTAGACTCAATGGAATTATTTTGAAAATATTTTTTCTTAGGGAGTTTCTGCAGGACTTTTCAAAGAACATACGTAGTCCTGTATGTATTCATATACATTGAAGAAATATGCACGCTGTGTAAGAAAAAGTTAACTCCTTAAAATGATCTGGAGTTCCAAATGAATGCTAGTGATGCAGGCAGAGAAAGTTTACTGTTGATTCCTGCAGCTGAGCAATGAGTGTAATTGATAGGTAGCAATACTCAAAGTAAATAGCGCTGGCAGGATACATGTTTTATCATCTTGCTTAGGAGAGCTGGAAGTTCTAATCAAGTAATGTTTTCTCTGTTTGTAAATTTAGGTAATGATTTCCTGAAAGCCAGAGAGCAATAGAAAAATTTAAAAAAGCTTACTCTTAATGGCTGAAATTCTTACCGTCTGGTAATCAGATGTTGTGTTTATATTGAGGTGATGCACACAACTTTGTTTGACATGCATTTTTCATTTTTTCAAGGAAAAATTGCAAAGGTAACTGGATCGCTTATACTAGGGTAAGTTGTAACTGACAAGCATATACGTAACTTATGTATACAGTTAAAATATTAATTCATGTATCTTTCAAAAAATGTGACAATACTAGGGGACCTGAAAACATGGTAGAATACAGTTTTGAAGTGTATTTTCTGATAGTTATTACCTCTTTTAAGTATTTTAGAGTCTTTTCTCTACTTTGCTACATCAAAATAATCTGCAGACTATTATATATTTGGTAAAATCTGGATGATTGATACCAAAATGATTGTTAACGTATTTTTGCTATCATAATTTTTTTAATTAATATTCATATGCAGTTTTCTTTTATTTAAAGAGGTTTTGTATTCATTACATATGAAGTCCTGTCCTTAAAGAAGTTACTGCAAATCGATACTCAAGCTATACATCAAGAAAAACTTAAATCCTACGTATATGTACGTACAACTTCTCTAAATCCAAGTGACTATCAAGGTAAGATGCATAATTATTTGGATTCTAAAAATAGAATTTTAAGAGAACAGAATGTTTCTGGAAGTCACCCTTACATAAGGAAAGATATACTTCCTGAGATCTGTTACAAAAATAATATTCTTCACAATGTCACCAAATTTATTTTAAGCTGGTGGCTGTTTTTTTTAAGGTAGTTCTATACATATAGTTCTCTATATATGAGACAATTCTGTCTATGTATGTGTGTGTGTGTATATATATTTCATGTATATATCATAGAATACCAGGTTGGAAGGGACCTCAAGGATCATCTGGTCCAACCTTTCTTAGCAAAAGCACGGTCTAGACAAGATGGCCCAGCACCCTGTCTAGCCAAATCGTAAAAGTGTCCAATGTTGGGGAATCCACCACTGCCCTGGGGAGATTATTCCAATGGCTGATTGTTCTCATTGTGAAAAATTTTCTTCTTGTGTCCAATTGGTATCTTCCCAGGAGTCATTTGTACCCACTACCCCTTGTCTTTTCCATGTGACTACTTGTAAAAAGGGGGTCTCCATCTTCTTTGTAGCCACCCTTTAAATACTAGAACATGGTGATAAGGTCTGCCCTAAGCCTTCTTTTCTCAAGGCTGAACAAACCCGGTTCTCTCAGCCTTTCCTCATATGGCAGGCTTCCCGGTCCTTTGATCATCCTTGTGTTCTTTCTCTGGACTCTCTCCAGCCTGTCCACATCTTTTTCGCATAGCGGGGACCAAAACTGAACACAATATTCCAGGTGTGGCCTGACAAGTGTCGAGTAGAGTGGGATAATGACTTCTTTATCTCTGCTGGTGATGCCCTTGTTGATGCAACCCAGCCTCCTTTTGGCTTTCTTTGCAGCAGCACACTGTTCACTCATACTGAGCTTGTCCACCAGGACCCCCAGGTCCCTTTCCACAGAGCTGCTCCCCAGCCGGGTAGATCCCAGCCTGTGCTGCACTCCTGGATTATGTTTTCTCGGGTGCAAGACCTTAATTGCCATTTGCCTTTGTGTATATACATACGTATATATATATGAAAAATAATGTAATAGAGCTGTCTTTCAGACTTCCAGTAATCTAAAAAAACTCTCATAGGGATCACATACCGAGCCAGAAACGAAATCCATAAAGCTGTGAGGAAAATTCTAGAAACAGAAGCTAAAATTTTCCGGAGACCTTTTAATGGTAGGTATTGAAAGCATGGATTTATCTATGATTACTATTTTTGAATAGTAAAACATAAGCCTTTTAGAAAGCAAAATAATTTTTCTTACAAGCTTAACATGTTCTTTTGTCGTTGAAACGGTGGTAATATTACTATAATTTTCAGTATTAATACAGAATAGGAGTATCTTTTCTATGTATTAAAACCATTCCTTTTCTTAAAGTAAATGAAAGTGATGGTTAAGAAGAGATTTGAGATTTTTTTTTTTTTCCCCCTGTGTCAGAAGAGATTTGAAGTTTAAGATACCAGTTTTGTGTACAAAAGGTGTTTGGGGGACAAAATTCTTTCAAAATTTCATTTTAGAAAAGTATGTTATGCTTTCATCAGAATTGCCAATATTAACTGAAAGCAGCGTGGTCTTTTTGTAATAGTGTTTCGCTGCTTTTTAGAGTAATTCAAAATAAGAATTTCAATTTATATAAAAACTGTGCTCCTGAGGCATACTATCTGTTCTCATTTAACTATCTGTTAAATGATTATAACAATATGTACCTCCACTGTGGTACATATGAAATGAAATTAATTGTTCAAGGTCAGAACCTCAAGAGTTGCTAATCATTTCCAGCTCCTGCTGGAAGCTGGCAATTCTGGTTGGTAAGTGCCAGCCAGGGGTGTGTGTGTGTAACATATACAGGAGATATCAACTTTGTGCCACTAAAACAAATAAAAACCATCCTGTTAATTTAAGGATTAACATTTTACTACTGCCGTTCTGTCATTGTTTATTGTAGTAATTCAATATTAAAACATCACACTCTAAATTACTGTTAACAACTAATATTCAAATATTAAAAGAATTTTTTTTAAACTCAGTGAATAGAAATGTGACTGTTAAAATGCTCATTAATAATAACTTGGCTTTTATTTGTTTTCTGGTAAAAGAACAATTCAGTACATTTGATGGAGAAGATCATGAATGTGCCTTGTGGCTCCTCTTAAAGAGAAGTCAGTCAGAAGACAAAGAGGTCCGACTGCAGGCTGTACAAGACCTAGCAAACAACAGTTACTGGCATGGTAATGTATGCTGATGTAGCCTTATTCATCCCAGAAATGTGACAAAGTCTCAGTTAGCTGTTGCAAGTCTGCTACCAACATAAAAAAGGCTAGTAGCTGCAAGGAGTGTAAATACGCTCTGAAATTTGGTCTAAAATGTGGGGGGTTTATTTACATTTCAAGTAATTCTTCTTTCCAAATACTCTGATACAGAGTGTGTATCTGCAGTGCAGGCCTCTCTCTGTTTCCCCACCAGAGCATCGCAGCCACTGCCGTGGTGTGGGAGAGTACACTGCAGTTCATGTTCATTAGTTCCTTAGTTTTTCTGTTGGAACTGCTAATAAGGTCGCTAGTTCTGGCAGTGATTTTTATAAGGCTCTGTAGGGGAGTGGGTTTAAGACTATGGTTCAGTTAATAAAAATTGGTTAGGAGCTAATAGGTAGTAATGACAAACTAGAGGTAGAGGACTTGTATGTGCAAGCATTAGTGTAAGTCATTTTCCATCCTAGTTATTATTATTTGGTAGTAATAAGTCCTCCCTGTTCCTCTAGCAGTGAATATCCTTGAAACCCCAAGTAAAGGGGGAGTGGGGTGTATATGTGTGTCCTCCTCCTCCCTCCATCACTAGTCCGTATAAACTAGGTGACACTCTAATCTTGACTCATTATTCTGGTAATCCAGTCAGTTGAGGACCTTTCACTCTTCCAGTGCAACTCCACACCATGGGATTTATCTCGTTTCAGATTGCCTCTATAAAATTCTAATTAATCACCCCAAGCAGTTTACATCAAATGTTTTCAAACACAGCTTTTTGAAAGCTAGGCTGTACCAAAACTGAAGCTATGTGTACTAATTTATTATAACCATCTCGTGTTCGTAGGAGAATACTGTTAGCAGGTGATCTCAGTGCACAAGATGGCCAGTACCTGGGAATCTAGTTGCTTTTAGTTATCTCCTTTTCTCTGTAGTGCTCATTGCTGTAGTATTTGGATGTTTTGCAAACACTGATTATTCTTGCCAACTACCTTATGAGGGAAATGGATTTTTTTTTTAACCTGATATTCCAAAACTGAGTCCAAGGAAGACTGAAAACATGTGCTAACTTTTCACAGCCAGGACCAAATTGTTCAGCATACCTGTTATCATAAATACAGTATTCTGCTTGTCCAAAGCACTGCTTCAGTGACTTCAATTTGCAGCTGTAAGTGATCTGCACCAAAGAAAAAAGATGGTCGATCTGTGACTGTTTGTGAAAAGTATTTTAGATGGCTTGTCAGTTTTGTTGTAGAATTGTATAACGGTAACAAGGATAGAAACTAATTTTTATAGAATAAGTATTGATCCACCTTATATTTTCTTTTCCTTCAGTTTGCCACTTAATTTCAGTATGTAATTTTCCATTTCTCCAGCATAAAACAGGTAGGTTTTGGAAAGGAACAGTAGTTACTGTTTAAGTCTGGTTTCCCTTCAGTAGGGTATCTGAAAGTCTTGTCTTGTATCTTCAGTAAGGAAGGGCTACTTAAAACTGTGCTTTGGTGCTATCTTGCCTTTTCTGAGGTCACCTGATTTTGTGACTTTAACAATTTTATTGAAACATAGCTTTTGTATCATTTAAAATTAGATGTCTGTGTCTTGGCAGCATTTGGATTTAAGGCTCTGGTTTTTAATACTGTATGCAGAAAAAAACATGCATATGCCTTTCAAATTTTAACTCAAGCCCAGGGGAATAAGCTTGGGTTTGTAGTCCTTGTAATCCTTTCACAGTGGCAATACTGAATGTTTGCTTTTGCTTGTGTTCAACTTATATCTGAGGACCTTTATCAAACTGGTCTATAACGAACAATTAGTGCCCAGGAGTCTTCAGTTCAGTGTAGTGCTGGTCTAACAACTGCAATATTTGTCTTTTGGAATTTGTGATTACAAAATCAGAGCTTATTTATGTAGATTGCAGAGAGGCGGTTCTGTTTTCAAGTATATTAACAAAGTAGATCAGAAACTACGTTTAAAACCAAATGAAATATTTAAGGTTAGTTTCAACCCTAACACTGAAGTTCTTGTACTACAGATTATCAGTATGGTACAGTTGCCCAAACCTGTGATCAAAGGACTGCTATAGGTTTGGCTCGATCCAAAGATATCGACCTTCGCTTTTTCCTGCCTCCGCCACCATTGCCAAAAATAAAGAGTGTAAGTAAATGAAAAGTAGGTGTTAGATGACTTTTGCTTGCTTTGTTTTTAGTGCTTTCTTTGTTATATGTAACTATACTAAAGTGGAGTTCTTCTAAAGTAACTAACGAGTAGTAAAATCAAAACCCAAGTACAAAACTATAATACAGTGATATACCCCTGGGGTATATCTGCATTAGTGAAGGCATGATGGAAAGGAGTAAGGATGCGGGTTTGATCAATTACTGTTCTCAGACTGTATGCCCACATTACACACTTACTAGCAGTGAAGTTTGAGCCAGTTACCAGTCTGATGCACACACTGCCTGTCTGTACCTAATAGGCAATGTAAAGCAGTCTTATATTAAGTCATCCTAGATTGCCTTGTTGATACTGACAGAATCCTATGCACAGAGAGCACTCCTGGAGGACTTTTCATCCTCACTGCTAGTGTGGTGCTCTAGATAGAGTTCTGGCATGCAGCTTTAACCTTGATTATGTAAGTAGGGAAACCATTTTAGGTGCACCATGTGACTCCCAAGTGCAGATGCAATGGAGGTTTGCTGCCTGGAAAAATTCCTCCAGCACATTGAATCACTAATGCAGACATACTGCCTTTCACCAAAAATTCTGCTGTCTTCTCCTTTTGACATCTTAATCTACTTATGTGTGACTTCAGAAGTTACAGAAAGTGTTTGGAGATGAGCTTTAGTGTTATTCTAATAACTAAGTTTTATTTAACTTCAATTATCACAGTACTCGTTAGATTTAATTGAATAGTATTCCAACAGAAAATTCAGTAAGTATGATTTTAGCTGCTGAAATGCATTGTACCTCAATACAGTAACTGAGAATTAATCAGATGAGCAAATATGTAACATCTGGAACAGCTTTAAGTAATCTGTCTTAAATTCCCAAATGCCTCCTGAGGTTCTGAGGTTGAGACGTGGCTCTTCCCCATTCTCTTTACTTGCAATAAGATCTACCAGCCTTGTTTTCTTTATGCCTAGCCCTGCTGTAGGCCCACCTCTTCATTGCCAGCTTTTGGGTACCAACAAATCCGTATTGGATAGATCTGACCTTGTTTTGTTTTTCTGTCAATTAGTAAGTATATCTATATGATGGTTTGATCAATCATGTCATCATATCAGCTTCTTCCATAAACAGAATTGGCACACAAAGCATAATATAGGAGGTCTTTTGTAATGCTAATAGAATGAAAGCTGGCAAAGGTCCCTGACGGAGAATACCTGTACATCTTAGCCAACAAAACTCTGAAAACCAGCTTTGATTGGTAGCGATATTCTCAGTTCTTGCTTTCTTATCTTTGTAACATTACGTGATAGTGGATCTGTACCTGTCAGGCCTGAAGTAGTAGGTTATACTAGTATATGGTTCTGTATATACTTTATTTTTACAGCAGTATGATTGCGAGGTGATTGAAGCTAAGAGTTCCCAATCTGCTGCTTAGGAAGTTGAAGCAAATCATTGTGGCAGCAAGTGTTGCTCTGCACATCAGATATGTCTGCATCTCTGATTGTAGCAAGGATTAGAGTAACTGCAAGTTCTATGACTGGGCAAATAAAATTACTTTGTTGAATCTGTTTTTCTGTCACCTACCCTGCATTATTAAATGAACATATATATGAATATTTTGAAGATAAAATATTAAAAGAAATGTTGTCTGTATTTTTTATTAGTAATTTATACATTCATTTTAACAGAGCAGCACCAAAATTGCTGTGTAGTTAAGGGTGAACTTTTAAGCTTCCTGTCAAGAGGAACTGTTTTTTCTTTTGCCCTTCTGGACCTATTAGAATAAGGATACCAAAGTGTGAAGTTCAAAGCTTACTTTTCATCACTCAGTTGGTGGTTTTAGAATTATCAGTTTCCAAAGTCTTTACAGGTGTAACTATTAAACTGAAATTGCAGAGCACTCAAGTCCAGGGTTCGTATTTTATGGCCTTATTAATGTGGCTGATTCCATTATTTCAGATCTTTCTTTTCTCTGTGTTTTGCTTCATGCTTTGAACAGAACTAAAAGCTATTTGTGCTTACTTCTCACAGGATTATGCCATAGAAGATGAACTTCGCTTGTTGTTAGTATCTTTACCTCAGACTGGGCTTGATCCATGCGTCCAGTACTTCACATCTCTTGCTTTACGTGAAAGTAGTCAGACTCTTGCTGCACAAAGGGTGAGTTCCCACCTGCAGAATAGAACTATTTGGATTCTTTGTTCCTGCAGAGCTCAAAGATACAAACCTATTTCCATATTTTTGAGCATTATAAGGGGAAGAGAAATACAGAGACTTTGTGACCCTACAACATAAGTAAAATCTCTTCTACATACAGTCTGTCTGCTTGAAAGCTTATTTATCTTTCCCAGCTGTACTAGTTGGTCTAGAGAAAGATTTTATCTTTACTTACAAGCCTTCCTATAAAGCAGATATTTCAACATTTTGTCCAGAACATTTCCTTCCCCTTGCAGTGCTCATAAAATGATTTTTTCGCATTTCGTCTTACCGTTGTTTGACTGTTCTTTCACTGCTGAGATGATTAAACCTCTGTTAAGTCTTACTAGCAAACTGGTAAGTTGTTAGCACACCTTAAATAGTAAACTCTGTTATATCACATGGAAGTGCCTCCCTGTAACAGGTTACTGGTGCCAAAACCGGAATTGGAATAGTCTAGTGGTCTGTTTGGGCCTGGAAACTAGGAATTCTTCAACTCTGTCCAACAACTTCCTAAGTGGCTTTAGGAACGTCGTTTAAAGTGCAGTTATTGCTTAAAAATAATAATTGTAATGCCAGTGTCATCCACTACCTCTTGTGCATTTTATTTTTTTTGTTAAAAAGTTGTGGCTTTTTAAATTGGTGATTATTGTATTTTACAAAAAATAATAATAAAAATTACTCATATTTTAATAATGATGCCTGGCAGGCTTTATTTAGAGATTTCAGAGTGCAATAACTCTTTCCTATGACACAGTTATGTGTTATATTTTTACACTGTGACTCCTTTATTGTTTTCACAGCCAGAGCTCTTGCTACAAAGGGAGCTTTGGTAGGACACCACACATGGATGCATTTTGATAATCACGCTGTTCTAGAAAACTGTTCTTTATTGAGGTTTTGCTGGTCTTCCTACTGCATGATTGAGAGGGACTGGTCTTCGGAGACTATGCTAAGTGCTGAAGACCTTTTTTCCTCCTCTTCACATTTTTGCAACTATGGAAGTCTAGATGCAGTCTGATTCTTGCTTTTTTTTATGCTTAAGCAAATGATCTTAAAAGAAGACATTCAGTCTTCTGAATGAAATGAAAATAAAAATGAAAATGAAAATCCTACATTTTCTGCCTTTAACAGATGTTTTGAAGTTAATAGACTATGGAGACTACTGACTGAAAATCTATTTAATATTTTCAGTTAAAAATAGTAGATATTTTTATGGTGTACTGTTGTGTAATTTGTAATCTTGAAAAATGCATGCATGCTGTGCACTTTTTATAGCAATTTTGATAGATCATTACATGCTTAACATTTTAGATTAGAAATGCTTATTTTATATAGCTATTTGGAATGTGGTATAATTTTACAGATTCTCATTTCAGGGAGGCTTATGGTGTTTTGGAGGAAATGGACTTCCATATTGTGAGACATTGAGTAAAATCCCTTCAGAGACAGTGGAACTCTTTTGCTTGCAAGCTTTAGTACAGCATTCTAAGGTAACTTGTCCTTTAAACTATAACTGAAAAGTTGTATTTATAAACATTCCTTTCTAATGCTTTCTCATATATTGGGAAGGAGTAGCCATTTCCTTGTCTCCTACCCCTCACCCCTTCTGTAAGGATGCTCAGACAACTGAGACTGATGTGAATTGGAAGGCGGCATAACAAAGTCATTTTTTCTTATGGGAAGTGTATGTAAGTTCTGTTACTAATTGTTTCTAATTAGCCTATATAAATTCCCCTGTAGTATACCTGTATATATCTTTCAAGAAGTAAAAGGGCAGCTCTGACACAGAAAAGCAGGAGAGAATGCCTGAAGTCCAGATGGCTTTAACAAGCCTATTCTGGGTAGGGCTACCTCCCACTGGCACTCAAAGTCATTGGAGATAGATTTCATGAGGAAAACAGTGTTTCCACTCTACAGCTTCTCAGTAAGCAAGATACTGATGATGTGAAATTCTCAGTGCAAAGTGTGTATGGATTTGTGTGAGTTGGTGTACATCAGTTCAGAACGCTTACAAACGGTCTCTTCTTATGGCTCTTAATCTAACTCTAGTGCCAGGTTTCCAGAAAGCAAAGTAGCCTCATGAATCCGCTCTAATCAGAAGCCAGAACAGAATGCAAACCTTGGCTCTTCACAAAGGTCCCTTCTTTAAGGGTCACTGTCTTTGGGCAGGATATTGCACAGCATGCAACTGATACAGTGCATTCCCAGGACCAGTCTGTTCTTTGCAGACACAGATGAAGAGTGTGGAAGATTTTGTGTAACAATGATTCTTCTTGATTCCTATTGCTGCACTCTTCAGTGTGCACTTAATTGTTCAGAAGCCTAGAACACTGAGAAACAGCGTTGAGAATACCAAATTGTTATCAGTAGTAGGGATGGATAAAGTGCAGTTTGCCAGTATTCCTTTCACATCTTCCATATACATAGAAATTCTGACTTAGTCTAGAATTTGTTATATTCTGTTGTGACTGTACTCATTCCAAATGTGTGTCTGTCTTTGTTGAAAGCCACAGACTTGACGACATCAGCAATTCCATAACTACCACACATTTTTAAGCACTGTAGACATGTTCAAGTCATAAGCATTTGGCCAATATCAGTAGTTGACACTACAACTAATTAGTGCATATTCATCTGCTTGGACTACAATCTGTTGTTGCCCTTAAGATCAATAACGATAGCAGTACTGTTTGGAGCGTAGAAATACCTTTGCATCTCAAAGAGAAGGGTTTATAATGATTGCAGTTTAGGTGAACAGGAAGACAAGTAGCTCTGGTTGAGACAGTGCTTTAACAAATGCAGACAATTGTCCTGTTCAGACTCTTGAACCTCAGTTGAAATTTGATTACACCGAGTGGAGAGCAATCTTATCTCCCTCAGATGTGGAGGAGAGTAGAGTGATGGTACTTAGCATCTTTCAGGTTGTCAATCCATAGAAATCATGCATTTAGCATATTAAAATATTTACTTCCTCTTCAATTATGGCATAATAAATTCTAGATTAATAAGAATTTCTATGTAATAAGGGCTCTGCATCATTATCGGCTCCTTAAAATTCCCTAATATGTGAATTAACAGCATCTCAAAACTTTTTGCAGAACATCTACTTATTGCCATTGTATTTACTGTGTAATGGTAGGTTTCTTCTCACTGTGATAAAATCGAAGCTAAAGGAGGCCTTCAGCTACTACAGAGGATATACCAGCAACGTAAAGATTCAGCCAAAATACAAAGGAACATAATTCGCATTATTGGAAATATGGCTTTGGATGAACATCTTCATTCATCCATAGTACGTGCAGGTAAAAGGAAAGCAAGTGCAAGCAGTCTGAATGTCAAGATTTCTACTCTAAAATTTTCAGAGCATACAATGCTTTTGTAAAATGCAACGGACCATGGCAGTGGTGGGTTTTTTATATTTGGGGGGTGGGGAGGTGTTACTGTTGTGGGGCTTTTTTAATACAAAAAATATAGACAGTTTAGATGGTGTTGATTAAAAACTCCTGTATGCTGTCTAGTCAATATATGTCAGTGCTACAGAGGTGCTCCAAGTCTGATGGATGGTGAAAATTTGGATTTGGTTGATGTTTGATTGACATTACTGGCAAAAAATCTTTTGAGTTTCCTACTCTTACAGATCATCTACCTTGTAGATTAATTTTTTTTTTATTGATTGTGTTTTAGTCTTGTAAAGGAACAGACCAGCTTGCAGTCCTTACCTTTTAGAATAAAGTGAAACATGCCTTCCTGCCCTCCCTTGTTTCATGTTAGGCTAGTAACTTCTGCTAAGCTTTGCTCTGATGCCCCTTTTTTTAATACCCCCTAAATATCATAATGAAATTATTCCTTCTAGTTCTGTACCAAATAAATAATTCCCAATGTTTTATTAGGAAAGAAATAAAAAGAAAAATAGAAAATATCAATATGCCCTTGTATACGTCCGAGCTGGTGTCTCCCTCTTAAACACAGTGTGCATTTTTAATCTCCCTGTTGCAAAAAGGAGAAGTAGCAAAGGCACAGGCAAAGACCGTGAGGGTGATTAAAAATTTGGAATGGCTGTGGTAGAAAGAACAAATAACTAGACTGAGACACTTAGTATGAAAAAAGCAACTGAAGGAGAATATGATGGAGATTTATAAAATCCTCACTGGCGTAGAGAAGGTAAAGAGGGAATGGGCACCTGCTGTTTCTCATAATGCAAGACCAAAGGTTCTTGTAAATTAAATTATCAAAAGGCAGAACAAAGAAATATATTTTTTTCTATACAATGCATGACCAAACTAAATCTTGCCACAAAACATTGTGATTGTTGAAGACTTACAAAGCTTCAAAAAGTGATTAGACAGATTCATGGAAAGAAAAATCCATAAACCTCTACACACAGAAGCCAAGTTGATTGCAGAAAACCGAGAGGGTATAGTGGAGAATCAGGACTATATACTTGCCATTTTATTGCTCCATTCTTTTATTGTTCCGCAACTTCCATTACTGCTCACTTTTGGAGAAAGACAGCTGGACTACAAAGGCCTTTGATCTGAGCTCTAGCACCATTTTCCATTCTTGTGATGACTGTTAAAACCATACATGTAGAGGAAGAGATCGTAACAGAAGAGTCAGCAGCTCCCTGGGGCAGAGCTCTCGGTACAAACGGAATTTTAGACAGTGAACCGGACTCCAGAGATGAGCAGTTGGATACTGCTGGTCAAGAGTTGATAAGACTTCTCTTTTGTTGCTGGATGATGCATAAGAAGAAAGAACCTCTAAGGCTCTTTTCTTTTGCGAAAACTTCTGGCACAGAAGAGGAAGAAAAGCAATGAGGCACTGTGTAGTAGCTATGATGGGGTGTCTGGGGGCAGAAGGATTCTGAACACTATTTTTGACCCTTCATCTTGGCTCATTTAAGAGAAATGCAAAACCAGAGACCTTGCTAGTTTTAAGCAGACTAGCTTGGCAGTTTTTCATTGTATTTGGAGAACTGAAAATAGATTTTTAGATAGTGTTCTTCTTAAGGAGAACTTGCACAGTGGTCAATACCTATTCTGTTTAGAAATGTAATTTAAACATATAATTCTTTTTTAAAAAAATTTTTTTTTACAGTTCTCAAAGGTACTTGCATTGAAACAAAACTCACATCAATTCATTTTTTTTCCTAATTCCTCAGTGAACTAACTATCTTGAATTAGCAACGTACTGGCTATCCTAATAACAACGTACTGTGCATGATTTTGAAACTGCTCATTAAGTAAATTGTTTCTTCTTTTTCAAATCAGCATCCATTTGAAAATCTCTCTTCAAAGTCTTCCCAGGTTTTATTTATGAACTTGACTTTAATGTAATTGTGATTTGTAGACGACTCTTGCTAGCAGCAACAACGTTTATCGGGATTTTAAAGAAATATATGTGTCTGTGTGTGTATAAAAGGAAGTCCTTTGCATTTTTCAGTAGTCTATGACCATCCCCATCCATGGCTAAGAAACTATATTTACATCTTAGGTAAAGTATTATAAAGTGTCTGTTTTTTCTTGAGGTAGCTGTGACTTAATGTTATTGAGGAATGTATTCAAAGGTTTCCTTCATTAATTCTCTTGGAATTAATCTATCTTTAGAATAGCGAGAACATTTTAATTCCTTAAATGGTTTTTCACACCCTGGATTTTAAAATTAGAAATGGTTGTACTCTCACAGCAAGCATCAATTTTACCACCTGCCATTATTCCTGTGGTATGTCTTTCTTATGCTTTAAGCTTCATTTTCTCTCTGGGACATTTCTTTGTCTTTCTTGCACCTTACCTGCAAAAAGAGGCTTGAGTTCTGTTCTCTCTCTGACAACTGCACTGACCTTTCCATTTCTTCTGAGAAGGAGTTCTCCTTCAGATCATAAGCTGAACAGTAGGAAAATACATTGCCTCCTCACCACTCTGGATTTTTGCGTTTTGGAGGTTCCACTTATCTAGCATTGGCTTTCCTGCAGTAAAGAGAGTGGATCGAAATAATTTGTTTTGATGTTACCATTGTTAAGTTTTAACATCTATTTTCACAAGTATGCTTTGAAGGATGATGTTTCTGAATTCTTTTGTTTGGATGATGTTTCTAATTAGTTAACCTGCGGCTTTATTTTTTCAATGTAGGTTGGGTTTCTGTACTTGCTGAAGTAATGAAATCCCCACATGTCATTCAGTCTTCTCATGCATCCAGAGCTTTGGCTAATCTAGACAGGGACACAGTGAAAGAAAAGTATCCAGATGGTGTTTATGTCTTGCATCCACAATATCGTAGCAGGTAAAGCAGAAGGAGATATTGTATGTGCTGTACTTTGAGTTACTTGTTATACTGTTCGGGTACAAAACTTTGGAAGAGTTGACATCAGAGTGCTGCTGTACTCATGTCACCTGCTCCTCCTGTTCTTTGGTGAGTTGAGAGGACTGAGTTTAGATTCCCAAATAGGAGAACAACAGAAGTGATGGGAGCAGTCCATAGCCATGAAAGGAGTACTATTGTACTGCATGGAAAAATCCAAACACAAACCATGAGATGAATTATTGCTTTGCATGCATTGCAACTATTTAACCTTTGCCCTGGCTGTCTTGGGATACAGTGCCTTGTAATTACTCTGTTGGCAGCAGCACATGTTGGCCTAAGATGCAATAAATTTACAGCTTCAGCTTCTTTTAATAGTGAGCATGTATCTGGAATGAAGCAGTCTCCAACGTGGTATGTCACTTAGTAGCAACTATTCCCTGCGTTACTGGCGTTAGTCAGGTTACAGTGAAGATCTAATTTGATGATAAAACTGGAACTATCAAGCTGCATTAACAGTAGCTGGAGAGAATGGTGTTTTTCATTATAGAAAAATACGACTTGAGGTCGTATTTATATCTCTCTCTTCTGGGTGGATCCCTGTTTTTTGTCTTGATCTGAGTATCCTCTTTGAAATATCATGAAATGTCATGAAACGTTGTCCATAAGATAAGAAATCACATATAGTGTTAAAAATAGCATTTTGGCCTCCCTTAGGTTAAAAGTTCTGTGTAAATTTAATTTGCTAAAAGAATATGTACCATGCGTCTCTTAAATTCCCTTTCCTGTATCAGTCAGCCCATCAGAGCAGACATCCTTTTTGTTCACGGTCTTCTGGGAGCAGCATTTAAAACCTGGCGACAGCAAGACATTGACCGGCATTTGGATAAAAAGGCTTCAGAAGGGGAACAGGACTATAGTCAGTGCTGGCCAAAGGTAAAAAGACAATAACATTTTTCACATGTGGCTGCTGTTTTCTCATTAATGAGAGCTGTCCAGAGGATCTAGAATTACACTGTCTAGCAGTTGTCTATTTTGAATCAAATGACCTGTAAACTGTTCTACAAGTAGCGCTTTTCAAGTTCCTGCTATGTTTTTGTTAGCAAGCTGAAATTTTGAACAGGTTGTTCTTGCAAAGGAAAATCCCTAAATTTAATGCTCTCACTATCATTCTCCTGCCAGTGAAAGAGGAGGCAATGGCTACTTTCCTCATGCTCTTTTTTTTTTTTTTGATGGGATGTTATTGCTGAGAAAAGGGTACATAAAATTACATTTTAAATTAACTATCCTTTCTTACATAGGTGTCTGAGTACCTCAGTTTTTGCAGATTGCTACTTAAATGTTGTTGGTAAATAAGTAATTACTGCTTCAAGCAACTCACATTGGTATAACCACCAAAGTACCTCTGTAAAAGTTAAACTGAGCAGTCCTGTTGGTAATCTTAGTAATTCTTGTTTCACCCAGGAGAGGGAGCCAGGAATGCACGAGTGAGTACTCCATCTCCATCCTTTACCTACTTTGTGGCTGGGGAACAGGCTAGAGTTTGCCAGCATGTAATAAAAGAATAATAGTCTAGGTATAAGATGTATTTGGGGATTAACTGAAGAGCAGAAATCTTGCTTGATATTGTCCCCATAGTAATATCTTTGCTCCATTGCTGATAAATTGCTTGCAAGTGTTTAAGTACTTCAATTATAAGCTCCTTTTGGTTTTGCTTTTCTTTAATTTAGACATGGCTGGCTTCAGACTGTCCTGCCCTTAGAATCATATCTGTGGAATATGACACCCATTTGAGTGACTGGAAAGCAAAATGTCCTGTTGAGGCTCACAGGTAACGAATATATTGTCTGCAGTTTGGAGCGGAGGCAAGAGGGAGACCTGTAAAGCTGATCCTTGGGATCACCTAGTGTGAAACGGTGAATTTAACTTCTCCTGTTGCATTTGAAAATCAAGTTTGGAAAAACATTAGGTACATTCATGGTATGCTTGAGCTTTTTAGCCTCATGGATAACTACTTGTGGCAACTTCTTAAATTCTTACAGTCTGTTCTGCTTCATGTTTAGGGGAGACACTAAATTATGCTATTAGTTGATGTAAATATAACATCAATTTTGTATCTTAAGGAGAATATTTCTTAAACTTAATGACCCAATAATGCTTCATAAGCGCAGCAAAAAAAATCACTGTACTATGACTTTATACTCACGATAAAATGAAGTATATAATTTTGTTCAAGAAGTGTTAATCCCTGGACAGAGATTCGTATAGGTCTTCAATAGATAAAATACAGCAACTGTATCTGGTTTGGTCAGATAGTGTAATTGCCCTTGTCAGAGGAATTGTGTTTTTACTGACCATGAACCAGGTAGGTCAGAGGAAGATGCTACCTCCAAACATGATCCTTCTGAAAAATAAAAACACTTTGAGCCTGTAAAGGTTATTTGGCTTGAATGGATTTTAGGCTTAATAATTGAGTTCAGTGATCTTTAAATCAGATTCTAATCTGACTCCTTCAAACACTTATGCAGATACTTAAGCATGTAACTAGTACTGTAGATTCAACTTGTGTACTTCAGTGAAGGCATGTGCATGACTGCTCACAGGTTAAGAATCTGAAAATTGATTATGTTTTGTGTAGGGGAGAAAAAAAATTCAGCATGCGTATAATAGGCTGGGAACTTGGTACTTGTTCATTCCCCCCTCCCTACGGATATACGAAGGATCAATGCAGTTACTGCATTAAAGAAAGCATGTAAGCAGGGGGGGAAAAAAGGAAGACATGGCTGTTAATATGGCAATCTGAAATTAGGCAGAACAATGACAGTAAAAAACATGTAGGTGATTACCTCTACAAGGTCCAAAGAAGGCTGGACCTTGTAGAGGGACCTTGTACCTTGTTTTGCATCCAAAGAAGGGCAACGAAGCTGGTGAAGGGTGTAGAGCACAAGTCTTCTGAGGAGCGTCTGAGGGAACTGGGGTTGTTTAGCCTGGAGAAAAGGAGGCTGAGGGGAGACCTCATTGCTCTCTACAACTACCTGAAAGGAGGCTGTAGCGAGGTGGGTGTCGGTCTCTTCTCCCAAGTAACGAGCAATAGGACAAGAGGAAACGGCCTCAAGTTGCACCAGGGGAGGTTTAGATTGGACATGAGGAAAAAATTCTTCACCAAAAGGTTTGTCAAGCATTGGACCAGGCTGCCCAGGGAAGTGGTTGAGTCGCCATCCCTGGAGGTATTTAAAAGACGTGTAGATGTGGTGCTGAGGGACATGGTTTAGTGGTGGACTTGGCAGTGCTAGGTTTATGGTTGGACTTGATGATCCTAAAGGTCTTTTCCAACCTAAATGATTCTATGATTCTAAGAGAACTTTTTTCCTGTGTCCATCTGGAGTAAGTATAATAGATGAAAATTTGAAAAAGAAATAAACATAGATTTCTTTATTTATTTTAAGATAATGTCTTTTTCATTACAAAATGGAAAATTACATTACCTGCTATTTATGGTTACCCAAGCATAGTATTTGATTATTTTATAATTTGATATGGTTAATAAAAAATGAAAGATATTAAAGATATTTTTAACTAGCAGTAACAAAGATGTAGCAGTAGAATCACAACCTTATGATTGCTCTAAGTGTATAGGCTCATTGAAAAGTGAATTTTTATGTCTCTCAGCTATCCTAAAGCCTATTGTTCAGCTGAAAAGACACATTTGATTATCCTTTTCATGTGTGTTATAAGAGCAATTTCTAGTGAGAATGCTGAGAACCAATAGAGATGAAGTGAATTACTTTGCACAGTGGTTGCCCCAATATCCTGATGTTTTCATTATCTAAGGGTCTATGTTTGATTCTTGTTATGCTGCCAGGAGTAACAATGTTGCACTTTCAAGCTTGGACTGGGAATTGGCATTGGTTTTGTTTTGTTTGTTCCAGATTCATTTTCAAACTCTAACATGTAGCTCACCCTTTCCAGAGCTCAGTCTCTTCACTTATAAAGTGGAGATTATTGTGCTTTTATACTACTCCAGTACAAAGCATTTGGAGATTATTGTCTGGAAAGTATAAGAGACATTATCTGTGATTTTTTTTTTTTTTTAATGTATTGGTTGATCATGCACTTAGTTATTAAGTTCCTGTACATTGCTCCACATTTTGAGCATTGTTTAGCAAAGTACGTTTTCTTCAGACATTAGGTATATTCTTGTTTCAGGGAATAAAGTTCATTATGCATTGACGATGCTTTCATAAAAAAACATAATTTTGTTACAATATATAAATGAAACTATCTAAAACTCCATAAAGAGATTTGTCGAACTAAAGCTAAAGGAAATGAGTGAAATTAAATGGTGAGTGAAATTAAAATAAAACTTTCTAGCAAGATCAGGAAACTGAATTTAGCTCAATTCCTTTTGTCCTTGTGAAGCCAACCTTACAAAAGTTTCTGGCATTTTTCAATGTAGCAACAATAATTAAGTAATTAATGTTTTATGTACCTAATTCACTTTCATAAATGTGCAGCGCTGAAAATTCATTCTGTTTTAACATCGCCTTTTAACCTATCATGCTTCATCATGCTTGTGGTTTTTTTTCTTTGCAGGAAGTCTATTGCTTACAGGAGCAATGAGCTTCTTGACAAGCTCAGAGCTGCTGGGATTGGAGACAGACCTCTGGTGTGGGTATCACATAGCATGGGTGGTAAGCACATTGCCTGCTTGGTATAAAGTATTTTTTGCTGTTATATTTCAGAATAAGCTGTTAACCAAATTCAGTCTGAAATGCAATTATTCAGAATAGTTTATCTACAAAATTTGCAAAGACCTAAAAATGGGAAATAGATTTCTACTTTCTTAATGCATTATATTCAGTAGCATATACATTTTGAAAGGATTTTTATTGCTGTTTGGTTTTACTGTGTTGATTTAAAAACACAAAATCAATGAGTTGAAATTCATGTAAATGGAATCCAGAGGCAAAATTTTCTCCATGATCAGGCATATAGTGAATGTCATTAGCAACACTTAAAGCAAACCAAAATTGGATCTGCATCATTCACTGACATTGTATTTTAATGCCTCCTCAGGTTTGGTTTGGTTTTTTTCAACTTAATCTTACATATTTGACAAACTAAGGACTAATCAACTGAGGCAAGAATATGGTTAGTTGTTTCATGGATAATATAGCACGATCATTATTTTCACAGTGGTTTAAATCCCTGCATTAATTTAGTTTCTGTTGCCAGGTCTTCTAGTCAAAAAGATGCTGGTGGATGCTTCCAAGAATCCAGAAATGGATAAAATTGTAAACAACACCAGAGGAATCATATTTTATAGCGTACCTCACCATGGTTCCCAGCTGGCTGAATATTCTATAAATGCCAGATATCTTCTCTTTCCGTCTGTGGAGGTTAAAGAACTCAGCAAGGGTATGCTCACTTTGCTACCATTTAACAGCGGGGATCTATGCTAATCTGTTCGTGATGCTTTTTCTTTTTATCATGCTGTCAGAAAAAGCTGGATAAAAACAGCAAACCCCCTTATGTTTTGGGTTGTGTGTTGAATTACTGTAAGTAACTCTGAGTAGCTTTCATTTGATTGCAGAGGCGAGGGGGGAAAAAAGGGAGTCAGAACAAGTTTATAGAAGAGTAGTTTGGGCCATTTAGCAACGTAGTAACTCAACATGTGCTGGACTTTAGACTCTTATTTTCCAAACAAATTCCATGCTATGCAGAGATAAACAATTGTTGCATATGATAGCTGGAAAAAGGGATTACAAAGTAAGTGATACTCCTTTTACTGGTGTATTAATTCTTCCAAAACATCTCTTTAGGAATGCGGTCTTGCCAGACAAATGCTATAATCTTATGTTCAAGATAACAATGCAAAAATTATGTTGCTCTTTCTCAGATTCTCCTGCCCTTAAAGAGCTGAATGATGACTTCCTGTCTTTTGCCAAAGATAAGAAATTTTCAGTGCTGAGTTTTGCAGAAACCTTACCAACACACATAGGCAGCATGATAAAACTGCATGTCGTGCCTCTGGAATCGGCAAGTAAGTCAAATAGCCATTTAATTTAATTAATTTTTTATATATTCACGTAAGCATCGATAATGAGGAAGGATTATAAATGCTCTGGTAGAAAGACCTAGAAAAATACATCTGTTATGTTGTGGGGGTTTGGGTTTTTTAAAAAAACTTTTGGCTGAGTTTAAACTACAGTCTCCCTGCTGAGATCAGAGGCAGCTACATTTATATCTTAGAGTAGCAATTGTTGGGTTTGATTTTTCTAAATGCGTGTAACACTTGCTTACTGAAAAAAGCAGGGTAGACCCTGGTCCAATGTTACATTGTTGTAGTCCTTTCCTTTGTAATTATGAGTAACTGTTGTTTATCCTTGTATAGGTAGGCTGAATAGTGTTTCAGAAGCTCCCGCAAATTTGAGCTATTTCCTCCTTTAAAACATAAGAAAGAAAATTAGTAAACTGCTAATGGAAGGAAAAAGTCACAAAGCTGTCTTTCAGTGTTAAGAATCCTTTATCTTCCATATCTCAGGTACTCAAGCAATAGTGTTTGCCTCTTAAAGTTCCCTCCATCTTTTTGCCTTTTGTAGGAGAAGGGAAAACCAGACAGTTCTTTTTCTTATTTTGTTTATGGGTATTCAACTTAGAATTGTTTTAAGTCTGATATTTTCAGGTTTTCCCTGAGCAAAACCCTCTTCTGCACTGCCTGAGGTACCTGTAAGGCCTTGAACAGAAACTATTGCTTTGTTGGGTTTTAGATCAGGCTTTCCACCAGCTAAATCCACTAGGTTAGATGCAAGGTTAGTTGCTCTGAAAAAGGTGGACTATACAACCCTGTCTTCCTGAGTCAGTATTTAGCAGTATTTTTTCAGTATGTCTTCTCAAGAAGCAATTGTTTGCGAAAATGTTGCTGATGCAATTTTATTGGCGAGGGCTGAATTTTGTTTATTTTGTATTTTTTATTATTTTGTTTTTTGTTTATTTTTCTTAAATAAAATTAAAGAGGGCTGGATAACAAAGTGCGCAAATAAGCACTGTGCACTTTTAATTTTGTAGCATGTTTCTCCTCTTCTAGAGATGCAACGCAATGCAGCACGTGAGCTCTCGAAAGCTTTCAAGAGAGTACATGACAGTTCAGTGGCACGCCACTCTTTTTGTGCAAAACCCAGGCTGACAGGCAGTACACTCGCTGTTTCTTACATGCATGCTTGGGCACATGAAAGCAAACTTCATCCTGCTCTGGTGTAATTTTACATGGTTAAAGTTACAGAGTTCCAAGCAAAATGGAGGATTTCTCAGGAGGTTGAGTGAATGGGTAATAAACTGGAATGTGGCAGTCACAGCATCCTAACTGGAAAGTTCCCTAGTAGTGATAGCTGTCACGAAACAATAAATGCTGTAGTGTGCCCCAAAATCAGTAGCTGAAAATGGAATACTTGTATTCTACAATTAAGCAATGTAAATTTTTCATTTCTCTGGAAATGCGTGTAGTGATTTGTGGCATATTTCAGGTTCATTCTAGTCCCATTTTTAATCTACACATCAAAGTATTTTATAAGGAATATGGGCAATTAGTGGTGATCAGAATCTGAATATCCTGGATTAAGCCCTATCCCTGTTCATGTCAATGCTTAAACTTCAGTCAGGACTTCGCTGTCAGTCAGGTGCTGGTAAATGAAGTTTTGATTCTTCAAAGTTGTCTGTATGGAGAAACATACATTTGTGCATTCCCAATAAAGATAGTAGAACTCTGACCTAATGGCTTACCAGTGTGGGGTTTGTAGCAATGTGTAGCTCTATCTGATTATAACGGTGTGTATTGATGCTTTTAGCACATTAAAAAATGGTGAATACAAAACAGTTAAACTGAAGGCAGGAGAAGTTGATTTTGAGAGAGAAATTGCTGATGCAAGATGTGCTTTTCAGTCTAGGTGATCTTACGAACTTTTTGGTAGTTTTTTTCTTTTTTTTTTTTTTTCCTCTCCCAGAGTTAGGAATTGGAGACCTTATTCCAGTGGATGTTAATCATCTAAATATTTGTAAGCCAAAGAAGAAGGATGCTTTCCTATACCAACGTACATTGAAGTTCATTCAGGATGTTTTAGCCCAAGAACTTGGAGACTGAGTTTTTGCCAGCCTTGGCTGCTTATTTCCTCTATTTGGTGTAACACAGTAAGTTCTTCCCCTGACGGGGGATCTGCAGAACTACAAAGATGCTATGTCAATAGTATCTGCTGCTAAAATAATTTTCAGTACATCTCCAACTTAGACACCTCTCCAACTTATTTCTAAAATATATTCAAAACAAATACAAACTGAAGTCCTATAAACTTGGCAAAAAGAAAATGTGTGTTGGCGTAGAGTAACCATGATCTGTCAACAAAATGTGTGTAAATTCTTCAGCAATTTGGCTGGGAGGGGATGGGGATTTGATGGAAGACAGGTTTCACTTAGTCTCCAGATATCCCTCTGGAGCAAAACAGCTAGACTGTGGAGAGTGCCCAGGATATCTTCTTTCAGCGCAAAAAAAAAAAGCTTGCTCTGGAGGTAGGTGGTCTCATTAAGGTAAATATACACCTGGGACTAAAGTCTTATTGAGAGGATCAGAAACAATTAACTGAGGTGGTTACTTGTTGTGTCAAAGGGGAGAAGCAGCATGTGGCTGCCTCAAAGCTTTGGTTTTCTGTCCATGTCAAGTAGTCTGACTGGAACCTGAAGAAATTTGTCCAAGTGAATGAAGGTAGCGTTTTGGGCTAGTGGCCCAGTTCCAGGAGTTTTTGTAATTTGCCTTTTCATTTAATAGACCACCCAGATTTGTCAGCAAATACGGCATCTGTTTTCTGCGTGAGAAAGAGAGAGGTTGGTAGGTTGTCTTGCATAGACAACTGTGGTTGTTTTAATCTGTTTGTGTAAATGAAAACAAAACAATAGAATTGTTCACCCTCTTGTACATTTGTCTCTTAGCAACTTGTGAGGTTGCTTTCTTTAGGGCAGTGTGTATCTGGTCAGACTCAGGGCGTTTCTGTGCTTGTTCACATGGAAGATACAGAACGGAGCTCTTCTGCTTTACTCTTGGGACATGCCGAGAAGATGGTACATTCAAATCCCCGGCTCATGTTACTCATTTAGAAACTCTTTCTTTAGCTGATTTAAACAAGAGCATTGAAAATGCTCACGTGGAGTAAGACAAATGTAGGCCGTGACAAAAAAGCTGATGCTTAGAGTTTGGAGCTCAGGTAGAGAAAAAGTAAAGCAGGAAAAAATTCAGGTGATCATAAGGTCCCACTGGAAATGCAGAAGATCCCAGATGTTTTGGTTTCTTGAAGCCCAAGTATATTTATTGGTGTAGATACAGAGAAAAACAGCAGTGTTGTCTTATTTGAGTTTATGTTTATGTTAAGGATACCTTAACAGTACTGGTGAGAAATAAGTATTTTTAGAAAAAAAAAAGGCAGTGCTCAGCCACTTTTTTAAAGTCTTAAATAGTTTGCAATGTAGTGAAAAGCAGCCTAGTCTAACTGTGGTCTCTTTCCTTCCTTTCTTTCCGCCCCCAACCCCTCTGAAAACAAACATAGGCTGTGATTAGGCTATACTGCCCTAGCTGACCATTTGCTAAATAAGGCCTGTACCGATGACAGGCTTAAGACGTCTCTTAGCATCACTTCTGTGAGAGGGATCTAATATCACTGGCCTTAAAGTTATGGCTATGAAAGCTACCAAAGAGGTGGGGTGCGCTTCGCAGTTCTGCATGGGCTTGGTGCGGGCGCCGGCGGCCGCTGCAGTCCTGCCAGGTCCTGAGGCCACCTCAGCTGTTCCCGCTTGAGAGCGTTCCAGCCCAGGAGGACACTACATCTGAAAATGCACTTCTGGAAGTTGAGCCTTGACCTGCTAGAGCTGCAAAGTAAAACTCACGAGAGTAGTACAGAGAACGTACAGCACTACACTAGCAAAAAGAGCATTTTTTCCCCCTAACCGAGATGTAGGTAAGAACACTGCAGGGCAGTATTTCAGGTAGGAAATGTAACAGAACTCGTTAAGAGGTTTATCCTTTTTACATTCTGAAGTTTAAACCACAGTGTAAATATACTAGAACACTTTGTAATCACAAAGTAGAGGGTATGTGGAATTCATTGTGAATAGACAAGACTTATATAACTGAATGCATGTTTAGCGTGACAAATCTTGTATTGATTTTAATAGACGACTTTGGCTTACAGGGATTCAGATCAATTACATTACACATTAATCTCAGTAAATGCATCTATGTTTTGTTACTGTAACTCTTGAGGCAACTTTCTCCTTTTTTTGTAACTGTATGTATATATGTGTAACTTTTAAAACTAATATTTTGAGGGGGGATTGTTGGGTTTGGGTTTTTTTGGAATATAGTAATGAAATGTGTTTTTAAAAATGTATTAGACATGCCACAAAATGTATTAAAGGTGAATGCTCTGGATCATGTTCACTTTTGCTAAAGACCTGCATTATTTTTAGTGATTGTCTCACGCTGGAAGAATGTGAGGTGCTTAGGGACATGGTTTAGTGGGCACGGTGGTGTTGGGTTGACGGTTGGACTCGATGATCTTAGAGGACTTTTCCAACCTTAATGATTCTATGATTCTATGAATGTAATGTTTACCCTTCATCTTCTGCAAGAGGCATAGTACTGGGGGGTGCAGCCGGTCATCAGTTTTGCCCAGCAGCAGTTTTTCAGTTGTGCTTTTGGATTTTGCAGAAGTGCCTCCTAAACCATGTACAGACATTGGTTCGAGGGCCAGAGGGTCTGTTGCGTAGCATTCATGTCTGCTTCCCATTAGAAACGTATGCTTTCGTGCTTCCCTGGTGTCACATTAATTCAGAATGGTGCCTTTACGTACATTCTTAGGTCTCAAACTATGCCCTTAATCCCATCTAGCTGGGAACCCAGCTGCAGATGTGGCTAGCAGGTATGTGTGAATTGTCTGAGAAGATGGTATTTCGTCTGCAGTGTGGCATCCGAGACTGAAATAGTAAGACAGGAAGGGAGGGCTGATAGGAATTTGTCAATCCTCCTGCACTTGTTGTTCAGCACTCTTGTGTAACTGTATTGGTATTTCTAGTAGCAACAGTCATGAAGTTTTTAATTGCTGTGAGTACAGTAGTGCAAACTGGTTTTCACTGTGATTTGTGCTCCATGGTGCCAGGCAGAGCAGCTAGCTAGAAAGGAGAAATTTTCCATCTGGAGAAAGTGTCAATTCTGGACAAAAAGGAAAAAGCAAAAATGTTGTTTTGTCAGAGTGGAAATTCTAAACAATACTTTGGGTTTGGTTCTCTTTCTTTTTGTTTGTTTCAGTGGTCACCCACCTAAAAAAGCTAAATTGGGCAGTTGCTATACCAAGGAGAACCGCTTACCCACCCCAAACACAAATGCAGCTGAACAACCAAGGTGCCTGCAGCAACTTAAAGTTGCTGTACTACAGGGTCCTGGGCAAGCTCACGTGGCGTTAGTCTCTTGCCAAAGTCTCACATTAAATAAGCACACAGACGCTTATATACTTGCATCTGGTGAATCATTCATGCCTGGCTTCACAGCCAGTGTCAACAGTTTTAAGATTTCCAAGTGCTGGATTCACAACATGAAAAATGTCACGGGATAGCCGCTCCCTGCCACCCATTATAGGGCCCTCAAGACTGATAGCTATCACTGGTTTCCACTGGTAATGTCCTAGTGAGAACGGGCAGCAGAGCTGAGGACAGAGCCGTGCTGTGGGTTCCCTAGTTGTGGACGCCAGCTAAGGATGGTTCAGGTTACTTAGCCTCTTTTCACATTGTGGTGGGGCCAGGCTTAACCCTGAATGAGAAGGAAAGAATCGCCACCTCCTGCAGTCTGAGTTTTCTGTGGTGGTTTCCCAAATGCAGAGCAAGTCTGGCCCTGCTTAGCTTCTCCTGAGCATTAAAACCAGAACTCAGGTTACAGGCACCTGCCTCTGAAAAAGCACTAGCCCGGGGTGTTGGGCACCAGTGGGGAAGGTAATGTATCAAGGCGGGAGATTCCTCATTCTTTGCTGTAACCCTTTCAGCTGGGCTGTCCGTTGCTTTCCCGTGAGTTGCTGCGATTGAACAGTATGTGCTGTCGCTGATGGTATAAACCAGCTAGCTGCAGGGATTCGTACTTTAGTGGGCAGCTTGCCACATACATAGACAAAACGCTAAAGGCTACGTACCTCTCTTATTCAAGGAGAGTAATAAGATTTTATTTGACTTGTATAAATCCACTTTAATTGGCTTTCCCGCTGACACTTTCATTAACATGTAAATTAGCTGTCCTAGAGCTGTTAATTATCTTTGCAGAAAATGCTGGATATGGTCATATAACGTACTCTTTCTTTTTTACTGCTCTTCATGTTTTATACTGAAACATGCCCATAAACATTCACTGTATTATTTTTTTTAGAAGGAGGACGAAGA